ATGCAGTTCTGGATCTCACCTAAGATACCTGAGGGTATCCTAGGAAGGCTATAAAGGTGTGCGCTCTGAGATGCAGAAACCTCCGCCACACCATGATGCCTACTTCAGTATTTTGTGACAACATTCTTATATCATCATATCTATGCCACTAGCATTCTCATTTAGTGAATACATGTAGTACAATACATTTATTAATATGATACTAAGCTTGTAAGCTCACCCTTCATAATGTTTTTTCGTGCGAAGGTTCGTAGGAGATCGTCCATGGAGCATTATTGTCACCAGATATTCCAGATCAGTTGAGACTTCATAGTACATCTTGATTTGTATTAGAGAGAATGTACTATTTACACTTTGTATTTAGTCGTAACTCTATTTTGATTAAACTTAGTATTTCTATTTTGGATGTTTTGGGAGCTCCCCGTTTTTTGTAAACTCAAATTATTATGTCTTATTTTACTTCACTATAGATGGTTTTATATGATGTTTTACTATCAATTTTAAAATAAAAATTTTGGGTTAGCCACTCCGGTGGTCTCTTGTGACACTTTAATCCTTCAATCTTTGGGTCGAACTGGATTAAGGTGTTACATGATATGTTTTCATCTGCTTATGATCATTTGAAGTGTAATATCCCAAAATCAGGATTAGTGACTAAATGATAAATTTTGAAAACTTTGTGTTCAATTTCGAAATAAGTTAAAAGTTCATGGATTTAATTGGATATAATGTGGGTAGGATTGATTAGTAAATATGGAAAGAAAGAAGGGTAAAATGGTCATTTGGTAGGAAAGATTTTTTTATCTTTCATTGTTGGACTATAAAACATGTGGATAATGGGATAAAAAGAAATAGAATGGTCTAGAGACTTGGTTCTCTTCTCCCTTGTTGCCGTGAACTCCATTTCATAAGGTGAGTTTTAGTTAAATGATTATTTCTTAAGTTTTAAGTTTAGTTTTGATTCTTAGTGTATTAAGAAAGCTGAAGGGAAGCTTTAAGTGGCTTAAAACTCAAAGATGAACAAGTTATGAAGAATTAAAAAAAAGAGTTTCTAAGTGAATTGTTGAAAAAAGGTTGTTAATGAATTTAGAAGTCATATTTGACTTGTCAAATGTATAATTAAGAAGATATAAGTAATAGAAATGAAATTAGAACATGTTGAAAATTTGGTATAATTCTTGATTTCCATATAGATGATGAGATTTTGAAGATAAAGAGGTATTAAATGCATAATAATTGGTTTGGGTATGTATACTTGAGTCAAGAGTATTAAAGGGTTAAGATATGAAGGATTTAAGTTGCTTTGGAGTATTTTTCGGGCTAAAAAGCATTTTCTGGGTAAGGGGGTATCGGTGTCTGTTGAGTATGTATCGATACCACAAGGTAAATTATGAGGAATTAATTCATGGGGATATCGATACTTGTATGAATAGTATCGATACCATATGGAAAGGGTATCGATGCCTATGGGGAGGGTATCGATACCCAGGGAACTTTGAAGTTAATTTTGGTATCGATACCTAAGTAGGGTATCGGTACCCTAGCATAGAGGTATCGATACCTTGTGGGTGGTACCGATACCTAAGTTGATATTGATATGAATCGTGTTAAGTAATTTGAATCTCGACATTCATTAAATTTTGTATTCGTATAAATATCAATCGAGAGCAAAATCCGGACAAGTAGACAAGCAATAGTCATCAATAAAGAGATCGGTATTGACTAGTGAGGCCATGTGAGTGCATACTAGTGGTATATGGTGTTTAATGGAAATATGACTTGCAATGAGTTTATATCCTATAGTATAATGCATGAAGTCATGAACATGAGCATATGTTTGATATAAGTATATATGGTTATATTTATTACATGAGTTGTGTGAATAACATGATTTGTATGTATGTATGTATGACTATATCTGTTAATATGGTTTGTATGTGCTACATGATTTATGTAAAATACTATTATGTAATAATAAGAGAATATAAAATAAGTTACATAATTATATGATTACAAGAGGCAAGCCATGTGATAAGAGATATGTAAATATATGACGATGGAAAGACGTAAGAAAACAAACTATAAAGCTCGATGAGAAGATTATAGGAGTTGTGTGGAACTGGACTAAATAAATAGATTAACTTAATACATAAATAAAATGAGATAAGTGATATAAATTATATGTTATGGTATAAGTTATATAATCTGTATAAATTCAGAATAGTGTAATAAATCATGTGATTTGGTATAAATAATTATGTGAGTAAATGGAAGAGTGAGACAAGATAAGTATTTACTTATAGGATAATATGAGATTATGTGAACATGTAGTATAACTCTATGAGGAAGACTTAGGTTTTATATGATTTAGGCATGAAATTGAAACTAAGATATAATTATGTTCAATTATTGGATGAGATGAGTATATGACATTACTATATAGATTATATAAGAGAGTATACATGAATACATGTGTAAGTTATATAGTATTGATAGGACACATGAGACTACATGTATATGTTATAATGTAAGAAAGTGAAATAAGTCCAATGATATTGAATTAGGTGAATATATGAAAACATGACTATGAGATAATTCATATGACTATGAGCTATATGATAAGAAGTTATGTGATTTAATGATCAAGAAATATAAGCTATGTGATACATGTGACAATTGAATTATATGGAAATGATCTATGTGTAGTGAATTACGTGACTATGTGATTATGTGATAAATAATAATAATGCCCATGTTATGTGTCATGAGAGCTAGAGGTATAGTTGGCATGCCAAGAGTCGAGGGTTCTACGTGGTCCTTCGGGACATATATGTAATCCTTTGGAACATATATGCGATGCTTCGGTACACTTATTTGGTCCATTGGAATATGTATATGGTTCTTAAGGAGTGGTCCTTCGGGACATATGTGTTACATGTGGTCCTTCGGGGACATTTCTACGCGGTCATTCGGGACAAAGTCTAAGTGCCCCTAGTTGGATTTTATACGAGCTGTGGTGATAGCAGGTGTGCACAACCTCTATAGACTCACATGTTATGTGATGATGATAATATGAGATAATGTTATGTGATGTATATGGTTATTTGGTGATATGATATGATATGTATGTGTATGTGTGTTAAAGATAAGAATAAGATTATAAGGTTATAAGGTAAAAGGGATAAATGGTAATAACATATGATAAGTTATGAATGTAAATGATGATATGTGTGCATATGGGTAACTGTTACATAAAAGAATATATGAGTGGGTATGATATGTATATGTGTGTATTTATGTTTTGATTCATAATGTGTTGATAATTTAGTATGATTATATGAAGTGTGCATAGTAGGAATTACTATTAAGATTTTATATTTAAGTTTATTAATGCCTCACTAAGTCATCGACTTAGCATGTGAATGTTTTACACGTAGGTTTCGAGAAGATTAAGGAGCAAGGAGGAGTAAGACAGGTCAGCTCTCCTTTACGAAGTTCAGATCAGAAAAGTATTTTGAATTTTATGTATTTTATTATTTGAAAGTAGTTGGCATGTAATTAATGTTTTGAATTATATACGCTCTGATTAGTTTTGAAGATCTTTTATTTGTAATAATAGGAATGATGAAACTTTTATTGAATAAAAGTGGAAATTTTTCATGTTTGTATACAAGTATAAGTTTTGAAAAGTCAATGTGACACCTCAGACATGTATCCGGGTCGGATACGGGTTGGGGTGTTACATGAAGGGTTCATCTGATGTTTCATCTTAGAATAGTGAGATGTCTTTCTTTAAAAATCTTGTGCTAAGATCAAAGTTACAAGATTTTGGATTTCAATCTCAAGATTCAAAGATTTCAATTTATCGGTGAATTCATGTACTTTTTCATGTTCAATTTTTATTTTTAATAATTTGACATGATATATATTAAATTCTATGCTTTATTTTAAGCTTAATACCAAAATAAGTTCCCAAACTATATTGCTTTTCCCAAATATCTATTTTTTTACTCATCCAGGTGCCTATCGTTATAAACGTACCCATTTAGGTGCCCGAGCCTTCAACGGTTTAATTTTCCCGTTAAGTGACATGTGTCACACTATAGTAAATTTAAATTTTTTATTTAAAATTTAAAAAAATAAAATTATATATTTAAAAAACACAAAATTTGAAATAAACCTAAAACTTTGAAAACATTCATTTCAACCCTTAAACCTACGCTGGTCGCCGCCTTTTGTCATCGATGAAGCACCACCCAACCTCCTCTCCCCTGCTGACCAAAGCCCTTATGAAATCATGATCGATCGACAACAAATTGATGTTTTATACTCTACAACCCTAGGTTGAGAATTGAGATCCCACACGATTCCGACGACCAATCAACAATAACTACAACGGCTTATGACTAGGAGAATGGTAAGGGCTATGTCGGTGGCGGTTGTTGTGGCCGGAAAGGGCGGAAACGGTGGGTTTAGGTTAGAATTTGGGGATTTTAAGGATTTGGGGGCAATTTTATAATTTAAGAGAAATTAGGTTTTTTTATAAATATAATAATATTTTTAATATTTAATTTTTTTCTTCAAATTACCAGATTAGGACATGTGTCACTTAACGGAGAAATTAACGCCTTTGATGGCCCAAACACCTAAATGGGTAACATTTGTAACGTTAGGCACCTGGATGAGTCAAAAAATAGTTTAGGCACCTATTTGAAAAAAATAGTATAGTTTGAGCACTTATTTTGGTATTAAGCATTTATTTTATTTTATTTTTATTCGATTTTGTCATATAATTACTAAGTGACCTCATGGTTAAATAGATTGTAGTTATCCTTATAGATATGGATTCGAGCATCAATGACAATAGGGTATTTGAGTGATTATTGTCACATTGAGAGTTTTTAGAACATAACTATCACTTGTAATCATCCTAGATTAATAAAAAATTATATAATAATCCATTAACAATTATTCATTTAAACTTAAGTTTAGCCATCATAATCTGGGTATCGGCTCCTGCTCCTGCTCCTGCTCCTGCTAAATCTTGCAAAGAAACAAACATCAAGATTTGGCAGCATCGTTCATCCATGAAATTAACTGGTACATTAGGAAAAGCAGTCCCGACCAAGAAAGGAAGGTCTCTTGACGAATCTGCCTTTGAATCGAGGCCTTTTCTCAGCATTCAACTTCCTCACTTGGTACCTTATCTTCTTCGAAAACAGTCTCCTCCTCCGTTTCTCCCTGTACCTCGATAACCTTGCCTCTCTTTCACCGTCTTCAACATTTCTTTTTCCCATGCTGCATATTCCTGCTGTGCTCTCTTTATGATTCGACCCCTGAATTAATTCCAACAAATTTACAATAATTAGCTACGGATCACTCATGATTTCCATTATCATTAGTTTTGCCGCATCGAATTTGCTATATATGTATATACAGATGAACGTGGACTCATTGAGGAACCAATGTATGAAAGGGAGTGTTATTATCCTTAGAAGTTACGAGTTCTTTCCGTTAAGTCTTCGATGTGTGCAAACGTTGTTAATGACTAAAACCATATATTATTTTGTAATCAATCTTACTAATAAAAAAATTGTATATATAGGTGTGTGCGTATAGTAGAACTGGAGAATAAAAGCATGAGAGGTATATATATAATAAGTACCATGAAATCATCTAGGTTGAATTCGGGTCTACTTCCAGATGTCCAGGAAGAGCCTTGGCATTCCCATGCAGCGATGACAGACTCGTAATTCAGCCTCAGTAGCATGTTCCTCTTCACTTCTGCCTTACTTTCACCGTCCGTTATTGGTGTCTCCGTCGCTGGAACCACCTTCTCTCCCCCCTGGAGGTGATCGATTGTCGGTGACGCGTAACCGAAGCTCCATTCTAGGGATGCTCTTGTTACATCAAAATCTGAATCAAAGCAACAAGCTGCTATAATACCCTCTTCTTCTTCTTCTTTAACTTCCATTGTTCTGCTTTCATGGAAACCAATACTTTCATCTTCCTCTTTGCAGTCTAACAATTCAACTCCTAGTAAGCTCTCAACATCAGCAGCAAAATGGTCAAGATCCAAATCTGATGGCATAAATCCATCAACCACTAAATTCCCATTTTCATTTACCATATCAGACAATTCTGCAGAAAAAGGATCGAACACAGGCACTCTACAAATCAGCTGCTCTTCTTCGTTCTCATCGCCCGACCCATCTTCACAAGTATCAGGAACAAGAGGATCAATAGGGTTCAAATGCAACAGTTTTGCCTTGTTTTGCCTTGGGGTTCTTGCCTTTCGAGTGAAACCTTGGTGCCATGCCGGTGCAGCAGCATCTTCATTAGCAGTAACCGAAGGATTTAACTTAGAATATGAAGTTTCAAGCCTAACCCTTGCATGTCTGCAAGCTAACTGGTTAGCGTAGTGGACTGAAGTATCACAGACTTGGCAGAGAAAGGCATCATCGGCTGAACAATACCAACGAGCTCGCTTTAGCAAACAGCCGTCGCAGGCTCTGGCCGTCTTGCCTCCCATGGCGTTGGCTGCTCTCTTGTCGGAGATCATCGGCTTAGCTAACGTTTAGGAATATTGAGCAGTGCTCGACGAAGGAAACAAGCTCATAAAGCGAAGTGCCTTTACCTAGCGTCTATTTATTTTGAGTAGACCGTGGTTCAATAATTGGGTTTTGAGATTTATGTTTTTTACTTGTGGTCCCTTCTGGTTTTTTCCTGCAAAGGGGATAAATTCTAATGAGTTTAAAATTTATGATTTAATATAAAGAAAAATAATTTATTTTGAACTGATTGTTTGCTTAATATATGTTTAGAATTAGTTAATTTATTATGAAAATTTATAAAATTAAATTAAACAAATCTATAACATCAAATAGTTTTTGGGTGAGTGAAGTGAAAATAATTAAAAACTGCATAAATCATCCATAACACTAACACTAGATAAATGGTGATATAACCTAAGTTTAAACTAATTATTCAATTCGATATATTTAAGTTAATTAATTTAGAATTTACCGGGTGATTTTGGTGATAAAAATAAGTGTTGTTCTTTCTAGAGGTTTTGGATTTGAGCAATTGTGTCTATGTAAGATGTAAGTGTGTTGTCAATGAATAAGAAATATTTTGAACACATATTATATTGTAATTGTATTAGAATATTAAAATACAACTAATTTAAATTTTAAATAAATTGAATTGTTAATTTAAAATTAAATATTTTATGTTTAAGGAAAATAGATTTTTACTTACCTCTTTTTTCATATTGTTTTATCATCAAAAGTGCAATAGTTTTTCACCGATATTAATGTTACAGTTGATTACATATGTAAGAAAAGTTAAATTCTTATATAAATTTTATATTAGTTTATTTTTATGTAAGGAAAAGCTAATACAAATCAAAACTTGAAATTAGAGATAAATACCACGTAAATGTAAAATAATAAATATTTAAAATAAATAAGATAAATTATAAAAATGATCATTTTGTATCTATTCTTTTTATTTTTAGTCACTGATTTTTTTTAAAAAAAGTAAGTTTATCTAAGTTAATAATACATATTCATTTTGACCAACAACTAATTAGTAATTAGTTTAAGAGGATAAGACATTAAATTCTTTAACCTAAATTAGATGTTCAAATCCTGACGATTATGCGATAGAGTAAACTAGATACCAATAATTAATTCAATATATATATATTCTTTATTTAAACTAAGTTACGTAAATAACTAAAAATTTATAACCCATAAATTAAAACATAAAAAATAATATGTAGCATAAGAACTAGTTTTGGTGCAATTCCAAATAGTAAAAATCTTACGAAATTTTGTGACAACAAAGCTACAAGTACGCTTTTGGGGGCTTATCTAAGTGAACGTTCATTGGAGGAGAAATGGAAGTTCATCCCAAAACTTGAATTCTCATTGGCTATTTGTCAATTCCAAGGATTCCTCCTCCTCGACGATGACTGTTTTGTTTAGTAGATGAAAAAGTGTGAAGCGGTCCCGTCGTGTGGAAGTAGCTATGGGTGACGGTGAAGGGCCACATCAATTTGTGTGGAGGTTGATGTGCCGAAGACGAAGGGCAAAGCGAATCCATGACACCTGGGGCTTATGTTGGGGCCATTGTAAGTGCACAGAATTATTAGGAGGAAATTTAGCCATATACTCACACATATGTAACAACAAAACCCAATATATAAGTTATTCTTCATAGGTGTGGTAGCCATATATCAAGGAAAGATCCTTTTCACTCCTAATGACAATGCAAATAAATTCAATATTCTTTTTATACCAGCAAATTTAGTACAATTTTGTAGTTTGAAAGGGAAAAAAAAAAGGAAAAATGAGGTTGGCACGAAATTTATTTAGAGATTTTGGATATTTTTACTGTAATTATGAAATTCGTCATACAATATCGACGATTATGAGAAAATCGACATGTAATCCAGACAATAAAGATAAAGTTATCGTTGTCCTCTATCTGATGAGATGTATTATAAATATTAAATTATACCTCACTAGTATTGTTTTACTTCTTCACTCTCATCGTTTGACAACTTTTTGATTGATCACTTCACTCAAAATGATATGTGTTATGCTATCTTCAGTTATTTCTCGTATTTCTCTTGTTTTAGATACGGTGAGATATAACATAATTCCTTTGTATGATATAATTAGTATATAATATTAATTTTGTAATCGATTATGATATTATTCGTACATACATGATTTATGATTTGATGTGTTTATTAACATCGATTAGATCATAGTTATTTGATATGATGAAATCTTGAGAATTCACAATATCACAATGGTTATTGTAGGGGAAGTATTCTTATATTGAATCACCGGCGATAATTAAAGATATTGAAGACTAGAAGATTAATGTGTGAATAAAAATTATGTTAAGGGGAGATTATTATATATTAATTCAAATTTTAATTTGTAATTAAATTAAAATTTATTGTAATTCTAGTAGAAGATTATTTGAGTTTATTTAATAAATAAATATTTATTTTAGGTAAGAAATCTTATAAAATTATGTTTTTTGGTGATCAAATATTTTGACTTCATGAATCTGGAATATGTCTTAACTTTTAGAATCATGAGAGAAAATTATTTACATAGTTGAAATTTGTAGGGTATTGAGAGAGTGATTTGAGATACTTAAGATTTTGGTATAGATAAAGAATTTTAGGATAGTATTTGTACCTTCGTGATCTATACATTAATAGTGGATTATTTCTTTTCTCATTCGTGGAGGTAGATAAGACTGAACCGCGTTAACTTTTATCTTTTTTTACAAATGTCTTATTATACATTGATATAACTTTGATTAATTTTGCGCTTATGAATTCCTGACAAATAATATCAAAGAATAGTCCGATTTGTAGAGTTTCAAAAGAAGTTATTCTTATGGATTTTGTTATTATTTTTTAGACTTGCAAGAGGAATTTTGTTGTAACATATTTTAAGTTGTAGGGAGAGTAATTCTCAATCGATCAAATGATGCTTCAACAGGTATTATGTAAGAATTGAAGTTATTGAAGACTTTGTGACACTGTTTCAACGAATTTTATAGCTTGTGTAAGAACTGAAGTTGTTGAAGACTTGAAGATCAATGCACGAATAAAATTTATGTGAAGGGAGCTATTGTTAGATATTGACTTAAATTTTAATTGGTAATTAAGTTGGATTTTATTATAATTCTAGTAGTTTGAGATTATTTCGTAATTGATTATTTGATTTTATTTAATAAGTAAATACTTATGTTAGGCAAACAATCTAATTAAATTAAGTTTGTTGGTGATCTAGTATTTGACTTTATAAATATAGATATGTAATAAATAAAATTACGAGAAAAAATATTTTGGAGATATGTAGTCCTTTTGTAGTCTCTCCAACTTTTGAATTTATGTTGCAGAGAAGAGTTTGTAGGTATTTTGAAATAGTGATTTGGGATACTCTGAATTTTAATATAGATACCGAACTTTTGAAATAATGATCTCTATATTCATGATAGATTATTATTCTTCTTATTCGTTGAAATAAGTAAAATTAGACCACATTAAATTATATCTTTTACGAATATCTTATTCTATATTAATATTACTTTAATTAATTTTTTTGCTTATAAATTCCTAAAATGTCTTTTTTTCTTTTCTTTTATTTTCTAGTTTGTTTTTTCATTTCTCGGTTTGTTTTTTCATTTCTCGGTTCCTTTTTTTTGCTTTGTTATCCTCCATGAAGTTTATCGATGGGCAAAAAAAAAAAATAGAATGAAAAATAAAAGCTTGGGCCTAACCAGGGCTTTTCCCAAATCTAGCAAGCTTGAAGCCACAACAACCCAACAGAAAACATATCTGTTCTATTTCTTTTATGGGTAAAATCCATAAAAGGTCACTTTTGTTTGAGTTTTATAAACTTATAGTCACTAGATTAACAAAATAGAATATATGATCACTTTTGTTTCGTTTTAATTAAGATGAGCACACTGGGATGTTAGCTTATGTGTGTTTAATGATGTGGCACGTTAGTAAAAAAGTTTAACTTTTATTTTTACCCTTAAACTATAGATATATTATTAAGCATAGGTCTTTTTGTAAATCTAAAAATAGTTTAGGGATAAAATATTAATTTACCCCTTTTTCCGTATATTTTCTTTTCCAAACCTATCTTCTCCGCCGCTTGCACCGCTTCATCTCTAAGGCTCTTATACAATCTAAGAAAACGTTCATTTCACATTGTTAAAGTATTCTTCATTTACCATTACCGCCTACAATAGGTGTTTTTCTACAGGACCAGTAACTTTACTCTCAAGTCTAAACCTTCACCCATTGAGTTTGGTTCTTCATTTCTTGGCTGTTGCAATTTACGGAGTTGGTCATCTAATCCTACCGTTTCCTTCACTGAAACGCGTGTGGATTGGAGGTAGGTTGATTTCGGTATGAATTTTCAACGTTTTATACTGCTGATTGCTCTCTCTCTCTCTCTCTCTCTCTCTATGCTAAACATTTTCCCTACATTTTGCAGAGTGTATATGGAATTATTTTCTCCATAATAAAGGCAGAGGGGGTGAGGCAAATTTTCTTCCCGGCCACAGTTCCAGCACTATGTCGAGCTCCTCTGGTTGATTGATAGCTTCAGCATTTTAGCATCTAAGATGAAAAGATTCAGCTACAATGTATTGATAAGTGTGTGTGTTATGTTGCATGTTTGCACGAGGACATTTTACAATTGAACAATACTTTTGAAACTTTTCTTTCATTGTTGTTGCACTCTTGGTCTCTGATTTTCACGTCAAGTGATTGTTTCAAAGCAAGAGTTCCCCCCCCCCTCCTCCTTTTCTTCTTGTAAGTGGAACTTTGATGATTGTTTAAGTTGATTTTTTTAAAAGAGTTCAGTGCCATTGAAATTTACCGAGTTATTAAAAAGGCTTGAATGGCACCAAATTCAACGATATTGCTTCACCGGGGAACCAGTAGAGAAGATAGGTTCTGAGAAGAAAACATACGAAAAAATAGATAAATTTATATTTTATGAATTATTTTGGATTTACAAAAAGATGTCATTAATAATTTATTTAAAGATTAAGAGTTTAAATAAAAATTAATATTTTTACTAATCTCTTATGTCATCAAAACGAAACGAAAGTGATCATATATTATATTTTTTAATTAA